TGTTTATATTGTGTCTTTGGTGAATGAAGTGGGTTATTGACATAAATGATGTAATAACGTGCTTGTGTTTTATGTTGAATACAAATGTTAATATATGCTAGTTGGTGTATTGACATTTGATGGATTATGGTAATTATATGCAATTGATATAAATTGACATGATAAATGTTGAAATATGTGGTTTAATTGTTCATTTGACATTCATTGCATTTTGATCATGAAGTTGGCATCACATTCATGGGCATTATGCACGAGTATGGGTGTGTGAGTACATGGTTTAATCAAACACTACACTTAGTGGTTGATGGGTGAGCTCGAAAATGTTAGATTGAATATCCAACTAAGTCACACATTGCATAAAAAACTTGTATCGGGTATAGCAAGAAAAGCTAAATACGTCATCGGGTGCAAGACCCGACTACTTAGTTCATACACTCCCCTGAAGTGCAATTTCGAAAAAGTGTAACGGTGTGCGGAACCGGCGGTAAGAGTTCGAGAATTCGAATACCCAAATAAAGACACATGAACTTGGAGTTCTAGTATGTGGGCTCACGCTACGAGATGTAGGATTTTCCCTATTTATATGTAATTTCAACCTAAAATATGACACATGAAATGAGTAGACTAAGGGTGTCTATCACATGTTAGGTCCTGACTAATTTAACTAGTTGGTTAAATAGAGGATTTATGATTAACCTTGTAATTAATAAAATCCTATTATGATTAACTTGATGTAAGTTAATGTTAGTAATTTAAAGCATGTCAATTGTAGATTATCATTACTTTATGTTTTAATGGCATATCAAGTTTAATAAAATTATTAGATTGTTATGTGATTATGAAATAATATCTATGTTAAATGATTATTTAGCATATGATTGTTGTGGTGGACTTGTACTTATGTTTATAGGATTAATAAACATGTTGTCATGTTGGAAGTAATAAACATGCTAGTTGTGTAAATTGATGTGCCATTTAGGTGTTTATTTAAATACGTAGGTGAATACAAGTGTACTAGTTAAGTTGATTATCTAACATAACATACTTGTGATCGTGTTAAAATGTCATTATATTGCATTCATTATGCAATGAACATTGTATTGTATTATGCATAAGTTACACTAAATTCATGGGCATTGACATGGGTGGGAATGTGTGCGTGGTATGAAATTAATCACCACATAGGTGGTTGATCGAGGGCTCGAAAAAGTCACACCAAGGTTCAGCTGAGTCGCATGAAAAATTAAATGGATAAATGTGTCAGGATATAGCAAGGAAGGCTAGGTTCTACTTCGGGTGCAAGACCCACTTNTCGAAAAAGTCACACCAAAGTTCAGTTGAGTCGCATGAAAAATTAAATGGATAAATGTGTCAGGATATAGCAAGGAAGGCTAGGTTCTACTTCGGGTGCAAGACCCACTTACTTGGTTAATACATTTTTCGGCTGTGAATTTTCAGAAAAGTATAACAGCCAAAACAGAGCCGCAGGTGGGATGTCTTGAAAATTCGTTGATGGTGTGGTGTCTCATTGGTGTAATACCATAAATTATCCCCCCACAAAGACACAAGAAAATAAATTAATTATTCATTGAGTATACATAACACCAATAACGGGGGCTTGGAATGCCCGAATACATACGTATGACATTGCATGTGTTGTGGGAGCTCAAGATGGGGCTCGGTGTTGGTATTGCTTGCGTGAGTCTCATCTCATGACATAATATGATTTATGACATTTGTTCATAATAGACATATTTGAATGAATGTATGAAATGATTGTTGCACATGACATTTCATATGCATTTGTGTTGAGAGGTATTATCTATAATAGTTATCCTATTGGGCGTTGACTCCCCCTTTATGAGAACATTTTTCAGATATCGCATAGGCGTTCTCCGAAGGTGAGGCCATAGGCCCGCTTTGACGATAGAACCGGTCTGTGACTCTTATTTTGACTCTGCAGTCCCTTGTATGTGTTTACTTTTGGCCTTGTATAATTTTTGTAAACACAAACTTCTTTTATATTAAAAAGGCATGTATATGAGACTCTTTTGAGACATTTATTCTTTTATGAATGAATGTACATAGTGATGATAATTATGGTAGTATCTGATACTATACAATTGAGTATGGATGAATGGACCCAGTGTGGTCAATGTTGTATAAGTTGCGTTTTGGGTAGAGCTCTTTGTACAAAAGAGACTCTACTCGAATTTTGTTGAGTTATGGATCCCGATAAATAGGGCATAACAACATGATGTCAAATTACACGGTATCCAGTGATATTTCGCTGGTTGATGGGAGATCAACAGGGTAATTACGGACACCTGAATTTGGGGTGTCATAGTGTTTGTCGGTGATTAAATGTGAGAGTATACTGCTTCATAATAAATGAAAATAAAATTATATGGTATTTCAAATTTATTTTCTTGTATGTGAGAAATTAATTTTTTCGAATTGATTTGAGTTGAGTTGCTTAAATTATGGATCAAATGTAATTTTATGAAAAGCTTAAAATTCAAGTAATATCTAATGTGTCGAGTTGCTGATAGTTTGACATGACTTACATGTTGATATTTACATTGAAAAATTGTTGTAAGATTGCTTAATATTGCTTAAATGTTATAAATAGTTTGACATTACTTAAATTTTGTTGTTTGACTCATTATTCATATGGATATTTACTATTTTTGATAAATGAGGTTAATTTGAGTTTCAAAGTGAGTTGAATTTAATTTTGTTGTGATTTGCAGGTTATGTATATCTTTTTTTTGGAACGGTATTTGATCCATATTTTTGTTATATTCCTTTGATTATGATATTTAGTATACTCAAGAAAATTATTGGTTTCAGGATATCAAAATGTAGAGTTGGGTCTATCGTTGTATTAACATGGTATAGATGGAGGTAAAATTAAGGAAGCCGATTATGTACATATATATTGTACACTAGAGTTTCCCCTGTGTTGTAAAGGGATGAATTCCCTAATGTTTTGTTTTGGGTTAAGTTAATGAATCATTAGTTGTTGTTTATTGGTTTGAAACACTTTATTGCATTACAGGGGCATGTATTACCATGTTTCAAGTTATACTTTCGTCCTTGAAAAACCAAGAAGGTATCTCGGGATGGGGGTGTGACATCATGTTTTGATGGGGATTAGAATTTGAATTTGGTTGAATTGTTGTGGTGTACAGATGATGACAATTAGTGGAAATGAGTCACATATGATGGTTCAGTTGGCGATGTTACAGGGGTATTAAGAGAGTTATAAAGAAATATTGTGTTTGGTGTGTATTTGTACAGAAAGAAAAGAGAATTGGAGAGAGAAACAAGTGTGTGTGTGTGCGTGTATATGTTGCAAAGTGGTGGCGGCATAGTGCATTGTTGTGTGTTGTGTCTTGTGTGCAACAGTGTTTGAGAAATAAAAAAATGTTGTGGAATTGAGGGAGTGCCAGATAGTTTGAGAGAGACTGGGAAAAAGAGAGGAAGAAAATTCATCAATTGTCGAATGTAGGAGACCTAAAAGCATTTGTAATTTTTAACATTGATGGGACACTTTTAAGAACCCACTAAAGAACTACATGTGTCCTCGGAACCGAGGAAACCACGACTCTGGGTTGCTGCCACGTGTCCTCAAACATCGAGGAATCAGGAACTCGGGGGGTGCTGTCACGTGTCCTCGACGCTGAGGAACCAGGAGCTTCAAAAATGCGACACGTGTCCTCAACTCTGTTTGCTCCTCCAAAGGGCTAATCGTTGACACGTCACCTCGGTTCTAGGACCCCGAGACATGGATGGATAATTGACGGCTGTCACCAATTAAGATCAGAGTTGATCTTTCATCATTGACTTATTTTTCCAAAGAAGTCAAAATGGCAGAAAGGACAAGACCAGCGACCAAATGAAATTGGACACATGGAGCAAAGTACAAAATTGGGGGTCAATGGACAAGAATGCCCCCGCTGGCACACAACCATCATAGGAGAGCATTCAATGATCCTTCAGGAGGATAAGACGTGTTTATCGTCCTAAGAGTCTTGGTGGAAGGACATTAAGTGCTCAAAGGCCTGAGCATTTAATACCGATTGACCTCTCATGGGGGACAGGAGGCGTTCTACCCAATGACTGTTCATACCCACCTGTTGCCTCCCAGATGGGCCAATGGAGGCCTCTCCCTAGGAAGACCCACCCGTCAGCAATGATGACCTCTGTGAAAATATAAATAGCCACAGGAAATTGAAGATAGAGGTGCGCAAACCATATTCTCAGCATTACAATAATGTCTTCTCCGGTTTCTCACACACACTGACTTAATTGTCGGAGGGATTATGCCAAAAAATACTTCGACACCCTTCTAACTCTCTTTTCTGAGTGGCAGACTCCTTCTTGACTCACTGGAATAGCATGGATAGCTAGAAAGACAATTCATCACCACTCCTTAGGAGCTTTATCACTCTCTTTTGCCTAAGGATCCTCGACTTTCAGATAAATCTTGTGTTCATTAAAGAAGAGATCTATCCTTTTCTTTTATTGTGCAAAAATTATCGCACACAAACCCCTTTAGGAAACGATGGTATTGAAAGATTTTTGTGGAGTGGTTTCGGAGTGCTTCTGTGAGGAAAGAAAGGAAGAAGATGTGTGTTGGAATATTTCATATGTTCTTCAAATAAAGGATACGAGTGTTTGGATGCTACGATTTATATACAATGATGAAATGCCCCTTAACTTTGCATGTGATGTTTTTTGTCTTCAATTCTAACGACTGTTAGTACTAACGACTCTATTAGTTCAATTTTAAGATTAAATTGATAAAATTAAAACTCTGGGATCAAAGTCCAATTAGTGGTAAACTTGAAGGACTACTGTAATTTACCCGAATTTCATTGCAACATTTTACGAAGTCTTTCACGAATAGCCGAATAGTAGGCCACCCATTGCCCAAAACCAAAAGCTCGCTCGCCTTCTCTCTCTCTCTCTCTGCAACTCAAAGCTATTAACCAATGGCGGCCATAACCCGCCTCTTAAAACCCTCACATTTCTCATCCACTTCCATTTCTTTCATGCGGAGGTCTCTATCAACAGCTGCCGTTTCTGAAACCGCGAAGTCACCATCGTACCCTCACAATCCTCTCCCTTCGGGCGTAGATCCCAGTGGTAGAAATGTTCAGTGGGTCTTTCTGGGCTGCCCTGGTGTAGGAAAAGGCACGTACGCCAGTCGCCTCTCTACCCTCCTTGGTGTTCCACACATCTCCACCGGCGATCTCGTCCGCGAAGAACTTAATTCCAGTGGCCCTCTCTCCCAACAAGTATGTCTCTTGATTTCATTCATACATTTGCGTTTGGGTCAAATATTTCGTGTTTTGATAAATTTAGAACAGTATCTTTGTTTATATTGTCTTATTTGGATTCTGTGTGATGAAAGCTAAAGTATTGCGACTATGTTCTTTTACTGGAGAGATTAACGATGGGTTTTAATTAGCTATAAAAGATAAATAATGGGCTTAATTTCTACTATTTTCTTTTTTCAGACTGGATTATGGTTGAGTTGAAGTGTTTGATTAGAATAAATAAGAAATTAGACCTGGGAGAGTTATTGTTTTAAGCAATGATCCACATATTGTATCTATCGTTTACCATATTTCTTTAGTTGAAATTTTTGAAAGCCCAATTTGAGTGAAGGTTTGTTTAAGTGTGGATGCGAGATGAATCCTGTACACATTGCTTCGGCAATCATCATGGTATTGGCTTAAATTAGCACAAGGGCAAGTGTGTACGTTGATTTGAGGCTTGACTTATGTAGAGCTGTTTATAGGAGGTGTTTGATATCACCAATGTGGCATGAACACCGTAAAGCGGATGACATGTGTTTACTGATTGTGCTCAAAATAGAAAACTGTGCCTGCCAAACACAACTTCACACAACCTGTTTCTAAGATGGGTCAAATGTTCTGTATTATGCTGCCATTTAATGGGCAATTTGAGTCTGTACTTGTAATTCTGATCCGTTGATTGAAGAAGTTCATGCCAGTGTGCTTCTTCTGTTGTGTTTTTGCCTGAACCGATTATCTCATTATATAATGTAAGGCTTCACAGCAGTGTTATTTAAGGTGTAAAGCGAATCAAAGGGAACCGATCTCTTGAGGGCTTAGGCGAAAAGTGAAGCGAGAGTTTCATCAAAGCAAAACGAACAATATAAAAAATAAACAAATATTTTAGTTTGATACTTTGATTACTCCTAAATATTCTAGTTTTAACTTTAAAAATAAAAAATATTTAAATACAACCAAAATAATAAACATCAACATATTTTAAATAGACAAGATATTAAATATTGAACATTATTGCATTTTAAAAATAATCAATTGATATAATCAGGTCATCTAAATGTAAAACTAGCAAATGTGGGTTCAACTTCCACCGTGATTGATTCAACTAAACAGAGTACTCACAAATTAATTAATCAAATGGAACATATAGCAAATTGATTAATCAATTCAATTAACCAAGCAAATTGATTAACCAGAGCATTTACAACAAAACAGAGCATTTAATATCATCTAATCAAAATAAGACAGATTGTCATGTAATACTGTTAGATGAATCAATTAATTTATTTTATAGATATACACATATAACATCATCTCTGTTAGGGTTTAGTTAATGTTAAGGAAGAAGAAAAAGAAGAAGAAGAAAAAAAAGAAGAAGAAGACGAAGGAGGAGGAGGAGGGAGGAGGAAGGAGGAGGAAAGGGGGGGGAGGAAGAGAAAATAAAAAAATTGCAGTTAGGCGTTCGCTTTTCTCGCTTAACTCGCTTCGTCGCCTAGGCTCTTTTCTTTGTTTCGTCGTCTAGGCTCGTTTCTTTGTTGCCTAGGCTCATTTCTTCGCTTCGTCGCTTAGGCTCGTTTTTTCCTCACTTTATTTGACCTCGCTTCGCCTGAGATGTTCAAGGCGACTAAGGCTCTCTTCGCTTTGCTTCTCGCCTAGGCTCGCTTTTCACAACACTGCTTCACAGAAGTTTGTAATTCAGGATTGAAATGAGTTGGATTCTTGTATAAAGTTGTTATCTACGTATCTAGCATCATGCGTAAGAGTTTCACCAAAAATATTTGTGTTCACACTCTACATTCAGATTATATTTATATTTGGTAAAAAATGGATTATAAAATCTGTTGGTAATGCCATTGTGAATTCATGGCATTCCCCTCTGACCAAACAACTGAACTAATTACATGTTAAATTGGTCACCAAATTATTTGTTTCTCTATAGTGGCTAATTCAATTAACTAATTACAGATCTTATAGCCAAAATGATTCCAACTCATTAGTCATTACTGAGAAAATTCTCACGAATACCATACATTTTCTTCTTGCACATGGTTTTGAGGAATGCCACTTGCTATCCCTATGCTAGAATATTTGGTTAAGAATCATTTTGGGTCTAATCAAAGCTAACTTACCAGCACACCATAAAAATATACTAAGTTCAACATATATGTTTATATATGACACATCCATACATCTACCCATAAGTTGTAATGGTTACTTTCAGACATGCAGGCGTTCTAAATACCTCTTCTTTTATGTTTAATTTTATTTCATGCTCATAGGTATGTTTGACATTACATGTGCTTTGGATTTTCCTTTTTAGTGTAAGTGTGTTTGGACCTTGTTCTTTATTATCCTGGTCACATCAGCAGCATATATACTATTCCAAACTAGGAAGCACAGACACTTTATTTTGGGTAGAGTGTTGGTGTCGGACACGCCTGGGACACGGATACGGACACGCTCGGACACATTAAAATGAGTGTCCGATTTTTTTATTATTAAATTTTTTTTAGGACACATTGGGACACGTGGCCGACACGTTCAGGACACGTTGGGACACGCTGGGAGACACGTTTTGAGATTTATTTTTAATTTTTTTGAGAACTTTTCAGATAATTTTATAATTAGGAGTTATTTATAATTTTAAAGGGATATGAGTCACAATCATAATATAAAAGAAGTTATAATAATTACATTGAACATAGGACATGAATATAATATAATTTTGGATATGAATACGAACTTATATACAAATGGAATAGTTTTTTAATATGAAGGTAATGTGAGAAAAAATGGGATTACAAAATTGGAGCTCTTGGAATTTGATGAAAATTAGTATTACAAAATGAAATATTTTCAAACTAAAAGTTGTAGAAGTCATTGATTATTGAATTATGGATGTTAATATTGTATGTGTATTAATATATCTTATATTATACTTTTCATGCAATGATATCATGATGTAAATTTTTAGAATTAGGAAAATAATGAATTAAAAGATTATTATGATAATATTTTTATTTTATCACATGATTTTATATAATATATATATATAAAATACATATTATTTAACGTATCGCTAACGTGTCCGTGTCCTACTTTTTTGAAAAATTTCATGTCGGCGTGTCCATGTCGTGTCGTATCCGTGTCCATGCTTCTTAGATTCCAAAGATACATTGTTATCCTTATAGTTAATCCAATGATAGGAAAAAAGAAGCAGAATAAGGCTGCTCATGCTACAACGTGCTAATATATTGCACTGCCAATTTATTGACTGTGAGTGGAGGCATAATCTCAGTCATTTTCCCTTGGTCCTGAGTTTAATTCTCAATGGCTTCCAGTTGTACTGAGGTTTAGAGTTTTGTAGGAAACAAATTAAACATCTGAATTAAAGCTTTGGGTTATTAGATCTCCTGTTTGATCCTACTCCAGGCCAATTTTTTGTAACATTCAGATTACATTATTATACCTTCGGATCGATAGTTGAAGATTGCAACTTTGGAAGGTTTGTGTGACTCATTCCTCTCATTGATTGAGACAATTAGTGAATGTGTACTCAAATAAGTCATATGCCTAGAAGCTTTAGTGGTGCCAATGTTCTATCCTGTGTGTTTTTTCACTTCTGTCCACTCATTTTCTCGTTATCTTTTGCAGCTAGCAGAGATTGTAAACCAAGGGAAGTTGGTTTCAGATGAGATTATAATAAGCTTATTGTCGAAGAGACTTGAGGCTGGAGAAGCTAAAGGTGAATCAGGATTTCTTCTCGATGGTTTCCCACGAACAGTTAGACAAGCGGTGAGCAGTTTCCCTGTGATAAAGAGCTCATTGCTGTATTCCATGATCTATTTTCAAATAAATTATCTCATAATACGTTTTAATAATTAATCTTAATAGAAGAAATGTACATGATGAAGTGTAGGGAATGCTAAATGTTAGCTGTAGAAGAGTTTTTTTTTTCCCTTTTGTTTTGCTATCAGAGAGAATCATTGCAAGTTGTAGAACATAATATTCGGTGTTTGCGAAAATTTTGTGCTGGCAACAAATATCTGAACAGGCCGTTTGCGGGGTTTATATGGAATCTCATTATTGATTGAATAACACTTAAAAAGCACGGGATAAAATTGGATTAGAGAGAGAGAGAGAATAATGGAAATAAGAGAACTCTTAAAAAATGTAGAAACATGTTAATGAAGTTTATGGACGGTCGAGAATCATTGACCTTGAGCTTAATTGGTCAATCAATGATGGGCCTCTAAGTTCATTACTTGATTGGCTTTGTGTTGCAACATGATGATTCTGGGTTATTAGACCATTCACACTACTGTTTTATTCTGTGTAGTGTATCAAATATTGGTAAGAATTTTATTTTATTCGATCAGTAACGTGGCCATAACTTGATCTATAAGTGCACTTCAATTTCGATCAATGGTGAATTATATTAATTTTTTATTTCCATGCCTGTTTTCTGCCTTATTAAGTTTGCTATGTTGCTTTTGATATTCAAAGGACCATTTGATTGCTTTTAAGTATGAGAAAATTTTAAAAGCAAAATCATACCAAAAGCTTAATGCACAATGGTTACAATTTAGAAGGAGAGGAGTTGAACACCAAAGAGGGTTGAAAAGAAAAGAAAAAAAGAAGAGCAAATAAAATATGCTCCAAGCTCTTTGAATTCGGTAGGGTGCACTTAATGAAAATCTACATGTACACCTTAATATAGCTCCTTATTTCTTCCATTCAAAAGGGCTTGAATAACTTGCAAAAGAGTGATGATTTTTTACCGTCAACTATTTGTGGTTGACTACATGAATCTTGTTTCTACATTGTGCTCTATTGAGAGCCATATTTTCGGTTAAACCATGGGTTGTCATTATTTTTTTACTTTTTGACTATTGTCCAAAGTTAAGTTCGGCCAAACTCTACCTCTCGCAAAACCCTTGATGTGTATCAAATTACTCTTCATCACTGGTGCATTACTAGTTCTTCTATAAACACGTCCAAACTATTTAAGTGGATTCTGACTTCATTTATCTCCGGTTATTGCTCCTTTCCAATGGTGAGAATGATTAAGAGTCATCATTAAAATGGTTTAATCACCTGTCATTGTTAAACTGCACTGGAACTATGTTTTTGGCTCATTGACTGATTTTTAAAGACTTGTTTTCTCTCTGAGGTAATGCTCTGTCTTAAATGCTCAAGTTCCTCTCTTTTTATATATCTATCCAGGAAATATTAGATGACGTGACGGACATTGACTTGGTTATTAATCTCAAGCTCCCTGAAAACATATTGGTTGAGAAATGCCTTGGCCGGAGGATTTGCAACCAATGTGGGAAAAATTTCAATGTGGCATCCATTAATGCTAAGGGTGAGAATGGGAGTCCTGGAATCAGCATGGCTCCACTTCTTCCCCCTTCGCACTGCATCTCAAAGCTCATCACTCGGGCTGATGATACTGAAGCTGTTGTGAAAGAACGACTTCGTGTATACAATGATAAGGTATAACTTCATTCTTTTAGAGTGCCTTTAGCCAGGGCACATTCAAGGCACTTGGAGTGCCATTACTTTTTTACCATCTCTCTCCTGTTTTCTCTCTTTTTGGGTGGTTTTTGGTCCTTTTTATTTATTTCTTTTTTTTTGGGGGCGTGGGGGGTGGGATATGAGGCGTGTTGGGGAGTGGTTCTGTGAAAGATTAAACCATCTGTTGTATCTTTGTCTCTTGGGAGGCTGAAACAAAAGAGTGCTTGTCTGATCATTTGGCCAACCTTGAATTGACTCAGAACTATTAGTTTGGTATTGGTTTTTTACCTCTTCATTTATTATTATTATTATTATTATTATTATTATTTTTTTTTTTTTTTGTGGGGGGGGGGGGACACTCACTGGGCTGTACAAACTGTTGGCCTGCTCCTTTTGTGAGGTCCTTATAAATTATCTCAATTGATTTTCGCTAAATTCCTCTAACTTGCTTCATGCCCACAATAGCAAGATAATTCGTCAGCTTGTGGTGTTCTCCACACACCTGAGCATACTTTACCAGCATTGTTTTGAGAATTTATTTCCTGCAATTAGAGATCGAAGGCCAACCCATTGACTTAGCCTATTGATGGGATCCTTGTTAACGATCTTTAAATATAATTGATGCTGATATGTTCTTAACTTCTGAATTTATCTACAATGTCTGTACTGGCTTTCCACGTTGCATGCTGCCATTCATTATGGCTATACTAACTCAGCTACAATAATCTGCATGGTAAACAAAGTAATTGGTTTTCTTGATGTAAAGAATTTGTTGGACGTGAAATAGGGTTCAACATGCTCCTTCTGTTCATATAACAGTTGTGGTAGGTTTCCTGTTTATTTATTTTTTGGGTAATTCTCTAGCTTTCTGGACACTTCAAAATAAAGTGATCCCATAAAGCTCAGTGCTTGTTAATTTGTTTACTAGTGGGCAAATGGGCATCTTCATTCTTCATTTTAATGTATTATACATTATATTTCTATGTTAATTTCAGGTCAGGAGGTGGTGAAGCATTGTTTCGTTTTTTTATTATCTTTTCTTTTTTATTGGCCAGTTAAAAGTTAGAAATAGTTGAGCTGATTTTGTTACAATGCTTGAGCGTCGATTAATTCATGACAGATTGCTATTATTTGTTTGCTGACAGAGTCTGCCAGTGGAGGAGTTCTACCGCACCCAAGGAAAATTGCTGGAGTTTGATCTGCCTGGAGGCATCCCAGAATCCTGGCCAAAATTGCTGGAAGCTCTTAATCTCGATGTCCATGAGGGCAAACAGTCTGCTGCAGCATAGATTCCTATCACCTGCTTGTTCTATAAGGTGTTATTTTTTGCATGTGTAAGGTGCATGCCCAAAAATTTTGCAGAAACAAGGGAAGCAATCTGTTTTTCTTTTTTCTTTCCCTTAGAAATAAAGAAATGAAGGATAGACCATGCCGTTCTATTATGGCGGCTGCATTATTTGTCTTGGGATTTTTGTTTTACAAAGAGGTTTGTTGTACCCTAATATGAGACATAGAAAGGGGGAGATGATTCAATTTTCATCTTCAGCGACTGTGTGAAATTAGTTACAACTGGTTGGTATTTGTTATTACTCAGACTACACTGATGTCCAGTGGTAAATTGATGTTCTCAGCTACATATTGTTCAGGTGTAAATCTCAAGCTGCTAGATCTTGGTTACTAAGACTCTGTTTGGAGATTGTGCTATTTTTTTTTTGGTACATAAAATGAATATGCAGGTAGGTCACTCCACATATTCGTTAGGGAGCATTGTCCCTCAACATCACAAAATTATCTGTAGGGGATCCCATTGTACCTATGTTGAGGCTCAAGTTAAGGTCCCACTACGTTTGCCCCGATGTCGGGGCTGAAGTTAAAGTTCCACTTTGGGCTTTGGGCGTTGAAGAGTAGGTTTAGCCCAAATGAGCTGTTGTAGTTATGGAGACTCGAAATTTAAGCATTGAGCGAGAAAATTTGAGTTCTTACCTATCAACAACTCGTTGGTGGATTGTGCTTTCACAAATGCCTACATGACAAAGATAGGAGCAGAGAGAGTGGGAATGCTTCTTTTTTGTTTTTTTTTTAGGTTAATTACACATTTCCCTGAATATGAACAACAGGTACTTTCAATTCAAATCGGGAGCCATGAAGTGTTGCTCCCAGTGAGGAGCTCCCTTGCCAATCATAGGCAAGTCCTTAGGCATGGAAGTGGAGGCTTAGGGGCAGTAACCCAGGATGCATATATTAGCTGCAGGAACAATTAAATGCCGAAACACAGGATCTGTTTTGCTGTTGGACTACACTGCGTCATAACACGCCTACATTACTATGTAGGAGAACCTTAATTAAGGCAAAAGTTTGTTATTTGTGGGTATAAACTTTTTCTCTTTGTAGGGTAATAATCAGAACTTCAATGGAAAAAGCAGAAAGTTGGTATATTCAACCATCATGTGGTTAGCAGTCTCCTCTATGTGTGCTATAAGCTGCTTGGTGGCCTAATTTACTATTGCTCTTTACCCAACAATACTCTGCTTTATTGGCACAAAAACATGTTATCAACCAACAATAACATGGTCACTGCTGTCTGGAGTAAAAACCCATCTGTATAAAGCTTCTTGTTCTATTACAGTTACTTTATTTAGGGGTCTATTCGATCCACTTTTTACAGTGCTTGAATAAAGGGACCAAACTAGACAATGGCGTGTGTTAGTATAATTGAATTTCCCATGTCCTTTTCTGGATAATTGATGCCATAATTAAAGCTTGTTAAGTCTGAGATCTCAAGTTCGATCCTTAATGTAATGTTCAGTGGTTGAGTTTGACCTTTAATAATTCAAGGGCGTGTTTGATATGTGGGTTTGGGAGGTTTTGGATCCTAGATTGGAGATTAAATCCCTTTAAACCCATGTTTGACAACTATGCATTTAATGCAGGGTTTGAAACTCGGCTTGGTGATGGCCCAATTATGAAATCCACATACTTGGGTTTCATGAAACCCAAGGGGAGGTGACTTTCATATGTGTGTTAATGAGTTTAACATACAAATGATATTTATACCCCCATATATCCTATATANCGACATACTTGAGTTTCATGAAACCCAAGGGGAGGTGGCTTTCATATGTGTGTTAATGAGTTTAACATACAAATGATATTTATATCCCCATATATTCTATATACCCCATATATATAAATTGATTAAGGGGCACAATAATTATTTATATACAAATATATTATTATAATAGTCATATATCTGTGCGCATAACAAAAATATGAGTATAGACAATATTGAATATTGAATCCCATCTTTGGATCAAACCCGAGTTTAGACAAGTCAATCCAAACCTCTCCTAAAAAACATACCAAATAGGCCCCAAAGGTTTTAGGTACAATATTTCTCATATTTCAAGAGGGTTAGTCATTTTTGTTCCTTAGGAAATTTGTTCTAAATTCGCCCTAGTTATAGTGACCAGTATCCGAGTTCGATGAAATAATCGGCTCAAAATTAAATACCATGCAACCAAAAAAAACATATTAAGTTTAGATACAACCTCCGGGAGACAAACAAATATAAAAACACACATTTTCAACAACCATTTTCCATAATGACATAATACGAAAACATGATCATGATATAAACCTTCCAAATTTAAAAACTTGGTCTGATTAATACCTTTTAGTCCTATGCAAATTAGATAGCAATGCAATGCAACGGCCGAAGTTAGATAGATACATGACAAGTGCCGAAGTTAGCAATGCAACGGCCATGGTAACATATCAATGCGGGTACACCAAATCNAATGCAACGGCCGAAGTTAGATAGATACATGACAAGTGCCGAAGTTAGCAATGCAACGGCCATGGTAACATATCTTACGCCCATGTGGTTTAGGGACTAATGAGGGACGATGTGGAATAGGTTCTGGTGCTACATATTTTTTCTGAAACTTTTGCCTAATCACGTGGCAAACGGATGTTAATTGTTAGGCAAGTGGTTGTTATGCCATTTTCTCTTGAAGATAAGGGTAGTTTTGTCATTTTACTAAACTTAACACCGTCATAACAGCTATTTGATTTCTTCTTGAGAGGCCAGAGTGCATTTACTTTGAAAGCATGGTGTCCGTGATAACAAGGTTAATCTCGCGCCAACGAAACCCGCAAAAGGAGCCACGTGTCCCTTCAGATCTCTTGCGATTCGGCCCAAGCTCATGCGCTCTCGACTTTAGATTTTGTCCACCTCAGCAATTTCATCTATCCACTAATGGTTGTGCACGTGTAACATATTCCTACGTGGCACTTTCTGGGTCCGGCTTTTTGTCCACGTCATCAACATGGGGACGAAAAAAACCTGTTTAATCCAAGGACCTTGGATTTATAACTTCCTTCAACCTAAAGTCCCTCCGTTTCTCAAAGCCAGTCAAGCTCCTCTCTGCAACTCAATAAAGCAAATCTGAATCGTTTACAAACTCCTAATTAGCTTCTCGAATCTTCATGCTTTGAAGAACTCGTAATCTTTTTCGAGATCACGGCTCTGTTTCGGCTTGATTTGGACTTTTTTCCCCGATACTAAATCGGTTTTTGGAACGGTCGATTCGACCTGTAATGTGAAGGTTTATTTTGTTCTATCTAAATACCTTTCTCTGAAATTACATATATATGTATTTGTTTGATTAATTAACTTTTCTTCCATTTTCAAATTAGTTTAATCGTGGAGGAAAATTTTGTGTAATCTCTTGAAAAGTTGTGATAAACGATTGTTTGATTCTTTATATCTGCTGTTTAATCTTCTTGTGTTGTTTTGGGGGAGTATTAGGGGTTTTCAATCTCAGGATGGTTGTTTGTTTGGGTAAAGATTAGGGTTTGGCGTCTGTATTTGGCTAATACTCTGTCTTGTTAATTACAGGGGAGGAGAGTTCGATAGGGTTTAAAGGAACTTGTGGGGATTATAAAGCGGTTTGGTTTGATTTTGGGTGAATGTTGTGTATTTATTTATAGGTTAATTATGTGGCAACTCACTCTTGGATTAGTGTTAAAAGCGTTGGTATCAGAAGAGTTTGGATTCTTTAAGAGGAAGCTATGTGCTGCTTGTCTTCATTGACAATAGAATGTTAGAGGTTTTATCAAAGGTTCAGTTTTGCATCTTCCTCATCATCAATCTTTTTGTATCTGGTTGACAGGGAATGTTTTTATGATGAACCATGCTAACGGGGAAAATGAAAGACTGGAAGCAAATCAATGTGAACATGATGAGGACAAGAAAGCTGAAGATGGAATTTTGGGTGACAGACAACAACGTTTGTTTACAGAGAATGAGTCCAGGATCAACAGAATAGTTGAAGATGCGATGAATGGACAAGGCCCAACAATGCAAGGCCAAGGTGTTCGCCAAGTATCGCAGCAACAGCCTCAAGGGTCATCTGTGCTTACTTGGGAGAGGTTTCTTCATGTTAGGTCCATCAAGGTTTTGTTGGTGGAGAATGATAATTCTACAAGACTTGTAGTCACTGCACTGTTGCGCAATTGCAATTATGAAGGTTAGGGGCTTGGTCTGCATGACATGGAACATTTTGTCCTTACAACAAGTGCTTGAATGGTCTAGCATAAATACAGAGAACGGCACATCAATGCCACATGGTTGTTGAGTTCTTTATTAACCTTCTTTCTAGTTTCTAATTGTGTTGGCATGTGCAAGTTTAGAGTGTCTTTATGCACGTATATCTTTATCTTCATGCTTGACCAGCATAAGATTTTCTGATCTGCATATGTGCAATTGGGGTCCATTTGAATCTCATTTACATTGTTATTGATGGCATTATAGATTATTAAGGGTTGCTTAATATAAGAAATATGATCATGTACTTAATGTATCAGTATTACTCTAGTCATTACTTACATCTTCTTTGTATTATTGACTGGGAGCATCATTTACATCTTATTGTTCATTTCAATTCTATTCCCTGGGGAAGTGAGATGTGATACACTAATACTAATAATGAAACTGGTGTATATTATTTCTGGAAATTTGTGCAAACTTGATTTAGATTAGAAATTCAAGTTTCTAGCACCTGCCTGCTGAAAAGGAATATATGATGTTAGAAGGGTTCAAATTTTTTTTTTCCTGGGTTGCATTAGGGACCTTTGGTGTAGAGATTTTTTTTGGGTGCTCATTTCCTGTACATGGGTTGTGCCACTTTTGGCGTTTTTTAATGATTCCCATATGAACCAATTCTTTCTCCTTCTTGCTGAGTAGACAACTTACACAGAAAACAGAGAGGTTTACAGATGCACAACACTCATACATCTATGTGATTTGGGTTGCATTTTCTCTCATGGTGTAGTCGATAGTCCAGTTTAATATTTTTTCTTCTAGTACGAGGCTGGTTTTGTTGCTTGGTTGTGTAGAGGCAAATCAGTATCCGGTTTGGCATTTGAATATCGTGTACTTAGGAGTTAATTACCGGAATACTGTTCAGTTAATTACAGGAATACTGTTCTTTATAAACAAACTAGGGGTAACCCGTGCCTGCAGGCATGATGCATGGTAAGTGAGAAGAGATTGATTTGAGGGGAGAAAATTCAATGTGAATGGTTTTGAGGGGGATGTTAGTGGCTGTTGGTTAAGTCTATTTCAGACCCTTGGATGAGCTTATTGAAGTCTGCCTTGTTTTATATTATAGATTACTGAATTATGATATTTTTGAACTTATTTACCAAATTACGGCACTTTTGAAAAGCATGGTTAATAAACATGCTTTTTGGAAAATATGTGATCACTGAACACACTTTCAAGTTGAGCATGAAAGTAGCAGAAAAATAAAAGCTTGTCTTTTAAGCACTCTTTTAAACACACTGGTCGCAAAAATAGCTTCTGTTTCATGGTCTTTGATATTGCACTGTTCAACTGCCACCTTGTTCTTGTCCATCACAAATCTTGACTGTGAGTGGTGTGTCTAAAGCAACAAATAGGTTTGCCTCAGTGGGTATTCAAGGAATTGCTTGGGCATATGTTGTTATGATCTTTGCCCTTGTATGCATGACAGCCACAAATCTCCTGAACAAATTTTGGTAGTTGGCTGAGGGATGAGGGGGTCGGCGATGAGCGAGAGAACTGGGTCTACAGTGGGAAGGAGGAGATTGACTGGTGGTGGATGAGGAGTTCGTTGGGCTGCTGGTGGGTTTCTGTGTGTGTGTGTGTGTGTGTGAGAGAGAGAGAGAGAGAGAGAGAGAGAGTTGGCAGAGAAGATTTGAAATTGTGAAGTAAAAGCGTGTCTTTTAAACATGCTTTTTCCGCGTGACTAACAGTCTCTGTGCTCATACTAAAAGCACGTTTAGTGATCACATTGTTTTTTCCCGAAACAATGTGTTTTCTAACTATGCTTTCAAAAAGTGTTGTAGATTGGTAAATAAGTTCAAAAGTGCTGCAATTTGGTAATTTTGTTTGTAATGAATGGTATTCTGATAATTACCTCGTGTAATTAGTTGCTCATGAGATAATGATGCCCCTTAGTTACAGCTTTGCTGTTAGGGAAGTATGAGGCTATCTCTAAGCCTCTTAAGATTTTCATTATGTGGTAGAACTTTAGAACTCCTATGGTAATCTGCCAGTATAAATGGCGTAGAGCTGTAGCGTCCAACTGTTAAGTGCTCTTTCAGCCTTCAAGGGTGCTGCTAGGTTTTGTAGAAAGACCATGTTTATTTCTTTGTTCTTCAATTTTTTCAACTTTCAAGTTGCTGCAATAGGTGTAAGTGGAGTTCTGCATAAGATTTGAAGTCTCCAACATATCTTTCACAGGGTTCATGCGTCAAAATCCTCATCAAATTGTGGTGTTGTTTTTCCTCAAAAAATCACCAATATTATGCTTAGAGAACAAGTCATGAGAACAAGTACAGAAGTACTGATGCTTTGAGACTGTTCATTTCATGACAAGCAGCTGGTAACTCACTGAGAATAAATATGCTGAATGCTGGATTGTGTTAACATGTTGAACACGTATAAATTTAATTGTTTACTAATGCACTCTTTTATTCCTTTGTATGCTTTTCTTTTCTTCTGTTATTAATGTCTATTTGCGGTGAAGCTTTTTTTTGTCCATATTTTCTCATAACGCCCAAATCTTCCATGTTGAGGAATATCTTGTCGGATTGTGGAAATAATACTTTGATTTCAACAGCTGTTTCTGCTTTTGGCTTTTAACTGACATTGTTCCCAAGGGTTCTTTATCAATTACGTAATGCCCGGCCAATGCATATAAGAGAGAGAGAGCACGGTTGACTTGCTCTTTTAATGGAAACTTTTGGAATTTTTCGTTTTGCATCTATCGATGCAAAGGTTGGCTAAGTTACATGTCCATAGGCAGTAACTGGTGCTGATTATTGTAGCGAGGCGAGAGGGGCAGGCCAACCATTAGCACAGCACAACCCTAAATCACCTTATCTCACTATTGTCTTGAGGATGATGTGCCATCTCCTCTCTCTCAATTCAACCTCAACAAGATTCACCACCTCGTCATGGTTGAGGTAGGGTTCCTTAGCCCTCAATTCGTAAAGTACCATGACTAGCAGCAGCATTACGCCTTGGTCGCATTGCTGACACGTGTTGAGCTTGAAGTTTGCACAAGCAAAATACTTCCTTTGAAACTGGTGATGAAGCTTGAAGGAAAAGTGAAGGTCTGTCACATGGCATATTGTGTCAACGCCATCTGTTGATCTGAGATTGTGTCAATAGATCAGGGTTGTCCACAGCATTTTACCTGGTCATTATGGTTGTTATAGACAAAAATGAGTTGCCCAGTGTCTGCCTAAAACATAACAAACAAAGTTAAGGATCGCAGAACACTTGAAGCGTTTACCCTAACCATAAAAGTACCATAGTAACACTTACCTGAAGAGAGGCAACATTGAGATAATATTTTGTATGCTTAATTGTTTGTCTATTTTGATTGTCAAGTAATTCAGACATTAAATTGGTTTTGACAGTTATTGAAGCTGCCAATGGAGTGCAAGCATGGAAGATTTTAGAAGATCTAACCAATCATGTTGATCTTGTTTTAACTGAGGTAGTCATGCCTTGTTTATCAGGCATTGGTCTTCTATGCAAGATTATGAGCCACAAAACACGCAAGACTGTCCCTGTGATTAGTAAGTGTTTTTCTTTGTCCTTTTATTAGCAGTTGCTGTGTCAAAATATAATTATTTGTGATGACATTATCCAATTAATACTATTAATCACTAGATCTGATGAAATTTGAGTGCAGTGATGTCATCTCATGACTCAATGGGTTTAGTCTTTAAGTGCTTGTCAAGAGGTGCAGTTGACTTTTTAGTGAAGCCTATTCGAAAGAATGAGCTTAAAAACCTCTGGCAGCATGTTTGGAGGAGATGCCACAGTGTGAGTTCTTCTAACCTTCCACTTAAATAAAATCTGCAATCATGAACTTCATACAGTTCTTTCCAAGTTTAGAATTATTTGTGAGCATGCTTCTTTAATCAATGAATTTTTCATATTGGTTTCATCTAGTTTGCTGCTTCATGTGCCAGCCAGCTCTTTTTGCCTGATATGAGATATGGGTGAATCTAATCAAAATTTTACAATATTGTAGCACTACTTATGGTTTCACAGTCTTTCTGTTTATATAATTGTTGTTGGTTTCATCATACTTATGTTTGTTCTTTTCTCTACTGTGGTCATTTAATTATTGTGCTTCTTTCAGTCTAGTGGTAGTGGGAGTGAAAGTGGTACACAATCTCAAAAATCTGTGAAGTCAAGGAGTAGCGAAAAGTCTGAGAACAACAGCGGTAGCAACGATGAGGGGGATAATGAAAGCACTGGTTTAAATATTGGCGATGGAAGTGATGATGGCAGTGGCATTCAGGTACTTACGGTTTACTTGTCTTTCTTGAAAGTAGATACAAGTTACTGTCTGGTTTGTACATTCTGGATAAGCTGTCTGCAATATACACTGTATATGCAGAAGAGAGAAGATTACAGGCAGTTTGTTATTGGCTTCACTTTACACATTAAAGAGTATTAACTTCTGCAATAGTTTCTTTCATCAGACATCGGCTAGCATTCTTGTTTAATCTGCCCATGTTTATTGTTTAATGTATATAGGGACAGATAATGTTTTTGTCTTATATCCCTTATATTTTTGGTGGTAAGCCATTCAAAACAATTCATCGAATTCCTGACATGATAATAGCTCGATATTATATGATCTTTTGGTGGTAAGCCATTCAAAACAATTCATCAGATTCCTAACATGATAATAGCTCGATATTATATGATCCATTGTGTTGTTAATCCAACTTGTGATGACTTTGTGCCATAAGATGCTATATTTATGTTTTTTTTTCAACTTCGGTTTCAATGATTCAGCTGTAGATGGAAAGCTGGAAAATTAGTTGGCTGTTATGAAAAAGCTGGAAAACTAAAGGACTTGTGAGCTTTGTGCTGAAAATACAGGTTGATGCTAACTAATGGTATAATAGGTAAGACCAAAAAGGCAAGATTTTGGTAAGATTGAGAATGTTTTGGCTCACTACAGGGAGGGTATGTGTTTGAATCATTTGTGTAAATGCAGAGGTTAAGTCAGTACCCTATCCATTCCTTCCAACATCCTTCATATTCAGTGTCAAACTAGGTAACACATTTATTAATCAGAGTTTATTTGGAAAGTAAAACGGCAAGACCATTTGGAAGGCGACACTGTTTCCATTGGTGGGTTGATGTCCTGAGAAACATTTAATTCTTACTATTCTGGAGAGATAAAAAAGCAGGTCTGGGAAGGGAAGGAAATCAAGCAGCTTCAGCTTTTGGACACTGTCCTTGCAGTTGGCACAGTATAGAGGCAAAAACAGATTTACCTCCAACAAGAGTGAAGAATTGATATTTTTGGTAAAAGTGAGGTCTGAACTTGATTTCCCAATCCTTTCTTCTTACAAAACGAANCAAAAACAGATTTACCTCCAACAAGAGTGAAGAATTGATATTTTTGGTAAAAGTGAGGTCTGAACTTGATTTCCCAATCCTTTCTTCTTACAAAACGAATAAATTGCCCAAGATCGAAGTGCTTCGATTGAAGACACTCTGATGCTTAAGTCAGTAATGGAACTAAGTGAATTGCAAGACGATAAAGAGAGTTTAGCGTACCTTTCATCTTTGCTCCTTATGCCTTTTGTAGAGCTTTGCTCAGCTAGAGTTTTCATGATTTTTGATTCAAGGTGGTACACATTCTTTTAATCAGGTGATTCTGTTCAGGAAGTTGCTAAAATCTCTCCAGCAATTCCTTCTATTGAGCCTATGATCATGCCTATTTGTTTGAACAGAATGTCTAAATTGTAGGCATCTCTTTAGTACCACGTTTATTGCTTTAAACAACTCGGTCATGACAAGGAGCGAACTCATTCCCTCCTTTCCGAGCTTTCTGAACAACTCAGCTGCGATCTGATGATTGAGTCTAATGATGTCTTTCTCACATGACTGGTCTTGTCACCCTCACGTGGGATCATTTAATGTGATTACACATGTCATAAAGGGAGCAACCCTCTTCATTTGCCCCCAAAAAATGTGTGACAGATGCTTTTCGTTTGTCAGTCGTTTCATGCCCCCAAATCCATCATTGCGTGTACTTTTGAGACATCTCCCTTTGTTTTGGCGGCTAGTTCTGCATTTAAACATTGTCTCTTGAACTTTGCTCTCCTCAATTTAAACGAGCTTTTCTGTCTTCTTCTTCTTCTTACACAACCTTTATTTTTTCTTCTTGCGAACTATCCTCTGCCTTTTTTTGCTTTCTTTTGTGCTATGGCTTCTTCAACGCCTTTTGAGATTCCAGCTTTCAAAGTTAAGTATAAAATTTCAGACGATGTTGATGTTTGAGTTGCTGATAGTGATGAGCCTTTGATAGGTACCAGGGAGAGCATCCCCATTCACACGCGAGCAATAACAAAAGATGGGGTTCGTTTTTCCCTTGACCTTCTTCTTCTCTAGGTACTTTTTGCAATGAAGCTTTGCCAAATACAATGTTGTCCCAATTTTTTCAGAATCGTCATGGGGGTTGCTGCTCTCAATAGGTTGCTAAACCTAAACTTAGGCCTTTGGGAGATTCTGTATTGATACATTGTCAAGTCCGCTGGGGACAATTCCTACGTGGCTGTTAGGAAGAACGACTGCTATCTGGTGACTCACCTCCCAGACTCGAACAAGGGCCACAAGAATGATTTGGTTTTTGTTTCTGGGAACTGGGAATAGTCAGCTGGGGCCACTTCCTCTTATCGATGTCCATATGGGGAAGGCATTCTAGGTGATTGTGGTTTTTACTTATCTTCTTGTTACCTCCTTCTAGCATTTTTGCTTACATTGTTTTATTTTTTTGAAGGTGAGACTATGAAGCGAAGGATCCCTGATCGGGCTATCAAGATGGAAGAGCTGAAGAGAGTGTGAGACTATAATGATTCACTTTTCTGTTGTGTTGCTCACACACTGCTTGGATACACTCCCACCTATATGTCTTTTATTGCCATTCTACCCCGACCCAACTCCGCTCTCGCCAAAGATCACCAAGTTATCCAATTTGCTCGGGACCAGACTCCTCGTTCCCGTAAGCGGTCATTGCCTGCCCCTTCTGGAAGAATCTGGATGGTCAAGAATTTTCTCGATTTTTTATCAACTGTTGAACCATCCGCCCTTACCTAATTGATTGTGCCAATTGATCCTCTGGCTCCTTCCAACCCTGTACTTGTAGAGGAGCCTGCACCTGACGTCCCTACTAAAGTTGCACCTCCCTAGCTGAACAATATGGTTCTTCAAGACGATGAGCCAGTTGATTCGGTTCGGACCACAGATCCTCCAATTCTTGCTAAGTTCGATCCTCTAATTCCTACCGAGTTCGATCCTACAATTCTTGTTCATTCCTCCGACAACCATCCTGGATTTAATTTTAGAACTTTGTGAAGACTCTTCCCCTAAAAGACGCAAAGTTGCAGAGTTTGATGCTGTCCTGTCTCCTAAACCTGCTACTCCCCCATTTTGACCCATCTTTAGAGCGAAAAGACGGCAGATAATGGTGAAGGATTCAGCTGTTGAAGACTTCAACTTTGCTGTGGGAATTGCTAAGGGAGTAATTCTGCCTCGAGAGCTGTGAATGAAGCTTTGTCTGACGATGAGATTACTTGCCAAGCAGTCCAGCAGATTGTTCTGGTATTAAGCTTGTTCCGTCTACAATCGTGCTACCTCTTCCTTCACCGCTTTCTGGTGCTGTGGTGCCGACCTTCTAAGCTTCTGTTTCACTTGCTTAAAGTTAGGGTTCACGTTTAATTGGTGACACGCCACCTCGGGCGGGATGCCGTGCATTTCATATGTTGTCCATGCGAAGACGTCGACGTATTTCCTTAACAGTGAAACCAACTCAGAGCTCAGAGAGGCGCCCAAAAGAAAATACTTGTCATCATCCTTGCCTAAAGGTACTTTAGACAATTCTTCTATAGTTCGGTCGGTCGAATCCACTTCCTTGCCTAAAGGTACTTTAGGCTCTACCTCGATAGTTCGGTCGGCTATGTCAACTGACCTATCAAGGTTTAATTGTTATTTTGTCATTTTGACTGCCCAGCTCTTCTCTTGCCCTTCCACACCATCTCTTCCTTTGATAGAGGCCAGTAAGTAAGTTCTGGAACTTAGTCTCCTCAAATGTTCACTACTCCTTCTGACGAGGGAAATTTGAGCATCTGGTGATATGTTGATGGTACTACCTTCATTTCGTGTAACCATGTTTGACCCATAATAGCATTGTATGCCGAGGTCGTGTCCATTACTAGAAATTCGGTCATGACCCCAACAAGGCCAGTCTTCACTGAAAGTGTGATTCTTCCCTTTTTAGAGAACCGTTTTCCCACTGAAGCTGACTAGCGGGGTATTAGCTGGCTTGAGATCCTCTTGCTTTAGTCTGAGCTTCTAGAAGAGGTCCATATACATGATCTCAGAGGAGCTTCTTGGATGAATTAGTACTTTTTTCACATCATAGTTTGCAAAGCGGAGCGTAACCTCTAGAGTGTCATTGTGCGATTGGTGTATCTCGATCAAATCCTGTTCAGAGAGATAGATTGTCTTTGCTTCGTCTTCCAACTTTATCCTCTTGCTCCTGACTTCGAGGGACAATCGCAGTTGATAAACTTCTCTCTCCATGGCCTAGCAACATTATTTGTTGCCATTTGGGGATTTGTTGCAGCGTGGATCACGTCAATTACACTTGCAGCGGTGGTTTGGTCAGCTTGAGGTTCGGCCCTTCCACCATTAGCTCAATCACCACCATTCTCTATGAACTGAGCAAAATGCCCTGCTTGGACCAATTCTTCCAAATGTTGCTTCAACGACCGGCAATTCTCAATCATATGTCCCATATCCCGATGATAGGAACATTTGAAATTAGGGTTCCTCTTCGAAGGGTCTCCTGTAAGCTTATTAGGCCACTTGAAATACGGTTTCCTTTTAATTTGAGTCAATATTTTATATATTGGCTCTTTGAACACTGTGTTTACCCATACGAAAGGGGATTTCGAGGGGAACCCCTTCTTGTCTTTCTTCCTCCCAGCATCTTTGTTCGGCTCAACTTGTTTATCTTGGCTAAATTGCTTTCTACTTATCTGTTCCTTTCCTACGTCTCTAGACTGGTCATCGTTGACTTTGGCGTACTTCTCAATTCTTGCTATTAGCTCCTCCTTGTCTACGACAGGTCTTCTAGTAAGGGATTGATACAAGGGATTCTTTTTTGGCAATCCAATTTTGAAGGAAGCCACAACAATCTCTGGGTTACAAGTTTTAATTTCGTTCATTGTTTCCTAGTATTGGTGAGCGTATTCCCTCAAAGTTTCAGTACTCCTT